TTCTTACATTTGAAACTCGACGTCCCCATGGCTTGATCGTAATTTGACTCTTGATGAACCTGACATTTGGTTCTCTTTTTCCAGTCATCTTCCGATATGGGTCCGCTCAACTGCGATTGACAAAGCCTTTCAGGCCAGACTCTTAGGCTGCGTCAGATATCTATAGACACGGCACTCAGGGGCTCAGGGTTCCGCCCCCAGGGTTTGGTGCTCTGCAGCTTGCAGGTATACTAGAAGAGGGGGGATATGCAGAATAGAGTTCATGCGATAGAGTTAGGTTTGAACAAAGTCCACAATAAAATGAATGTGAGAGTTATTTTTAGTTGCAACGGGGTCAGTTCAGATACTTTAGAGTTGCAGCGAGCTCAAGATGGGTAGCTTTCGTGTCGTGCGTCAATAGGCATATAGTTAGCTAAGTAAGTCGAAGCGTAACCCTGAGCGAGACTGGGGCTGTATATCGGAGGCTGGAGGGAGAAACATAGTGACATATGCATTTCAGCTGCGGAACTGTAGGCGTCGATAGTAAGTGGTCCATCAGCCTACAAGCAAGCGGCTGAGGCACTACTTTTGCGATTGGTTTTTTCGGTATAGGAGATTGCAGCACGGCACAGGAAGCGGACATTAGAAACAGAGAAAACTCAACAGGGATATCGTGCGTTTGCTCCTGATAGTGTCGTCTCTGAGCTGCTTGCCCTTTGCCGTAGTAGCGCCACATATCGCATCCATATCATCATCCAGTAGCATCGGTTGTGCCGCTGTTGTTTCAATTTACCAATTTTTTGGAAGTACAGTTTGCTAAAGTGGCTGGACCACCCAAAAGCGACAATCCCTAGAGGGGTTCGCATCGTAAGTTGCTGCTTTATGAGCTTTCACTGCAGGGTAATCTCCCACTTTTTGTGTTGCTTCACATCCATCTTGGACAGATGTGGTCTTGACGAGAATTTTCACAAAAAAAACAGGATTTCAGGGCTTGGAGCTGTATCGGCTGCAGTGATGTCCTCTGCAGATTCGTCAGTATTGTCAGCTGCCTCCATGTTTGCACACAATATTTGGAAGCTGACCATAAGACCACATGTAAGTTTTTCCCTTTCTTAAACCCTCGGAATTTCAATGACAGGATTTCGTTTTCTTGTCCGGTTTCTGGTCACAAATCCCATTTTATTGGGAAACCTTATCTTTACTTTCATGAACCTTCTGATATGCAGTTGGTTTTGCTGTCAAAATTCTCTCAATTCTTAACATCGTTTTCTAAAATTTACTTAACCGGTTCTGACTATTTGGGGAAGGGGAGGACTACGGTGGAACATTGAAAACTAGCGCATTTAGCACGTACGCGGTGCGGATATCGAATCTCTACTGGGCTCCACCCGAGTCTAAACAACGGCCTTTCACTTCGCCTATCGGTCTGAGCATTGATTTACGTATATTGAAATCTGGTAATATTAAACTCAATCAGAATGCTCGTACTCCTATGCAATCATCTGTAAGTCCATATCGATAGATTATTGTAACTGAGATGATGTCGATGTGCGGGCACCGCTAGGGTGGATTTTGGACACGTTGAGCGAGGAGCATTATTGCAATGACGCTCGGTTCCTTCCTTATCAATACTCTTTTGTATTCAATATCTCAGTTGATGGATATACTTCTATTCTAATGTCGTCCTCTTCCTCTGAACTGCCTCAACGCAGAGCTTAATGGCGGCTCGGCATTAATTTAGACCCACATGAAGCGCGTATTCTCTCCGCCAAATCAAGTAGTATATAATGAATTTGAATAAGGCTCCAGTATACGAGCTCGCTCAACAGCCTGCATACTACCTGGCCTTGAATGAGCTAATGGACACTCCATAGAAAATACAAAACACACATTTATATTAATGAATTGTTTCTCACTTATACTCTTTATCCCTTAGACGGAGTAGGCGTGGCATTTGAATGTGGCATAGGTCGGGTTAATCGAGATATTTCAATTTAAGACAACTGTCATCTTGTTTCATTGTTGGACAGAGACATGGTTACAACTGCCCCGGAATGAAAATATTTATTTCACAAAAAGCATGACCGCCCTGACGTTCAGTTCAAGTACGCGGCCACGCCCACCGCATTTTAGGGATTTTGAGTGTACATAGACTTTTTTAAACGAAAATGATCGCGTCCACTAGGCAGAACTACAGCAATTGTTGATATAGCAAATGCTATATAGATATCTTGCCGTGCGAATGCCTTCGAAAATCATTGCAAAAGTCTATATTATTAATTCAGAGACTATTATATGCATATCGAGGAGATGGGTGATTCTGGTGATGCGTTTCGCGATCGTAGCCGTCGGTGTGATGGCCACTGTTATGGCTCTGACAATACAGAGCATTTACGGACTATGGTGAGGACATTTCATTTGCTAGCTTGAGAACCAGTCCACAACGATCGTGTGGGTGGAGTTAGTGAATCGTTATGCCTTCTTCATTGGCACCGTCTGTTGAACGGCTGAGTTAATTAAATAAAAAAAATGCAATGAGGTAATGACGCGAGACAATCCCTGCAGATATGATCGTCTGGAGCCCCTGTTAGCAACGAAAACAGTTGCTCCTTTGCTCAAGATCCGCTGAAATGAGTGTTCTGTTTTTGGGCTACAGATTTGACGGATTGAAATATGGGCTGAAATAGCGTATACACTTCTGACCAGTAAGCAATAGGATGAGCACGGAAATTTTCCATTTTAAGCTTGGGTGAGATAGGAGCTTTGAATGCCAGCAGCCTTATTTGTTCTTATCAACGAAGCACTTCCAAATACTCCCAAGAAATTTTCCAATGCTGTGCAGAGCCTTGGTCTTTCTATTCATGACAGAAGTCGAATTGTAGCCCAACGCCTGGAGATTTTCACAATTTTCATGAAAGGTCGTCCTTGTCATGTGCGTGCTCAGTAGGCCCGCAGCTGCAGCGGGATGTCGCCAGCTCAAAAATGCACGGGAACTGAGGTGGAGGGAGTTGTACCCGGGTGCTGTCTCCAGCTCAGTTGCACAGCCAGCCGCATTCGTGACCATAGCCAAACACGCTTTATGTCTGCGCCCTCTCACTTCTGGTTGTTCTTACCGCTAACTACATGCCCGCTTCGGGATTTTACTATCGACGCAACTGCTGCGCAATGAAGATAGCGCAGACAAATTATGGGGACAGCACCCGAGCACCATTGCCATCCAACCCTGTTCCCGTGCACTGAGCCGAGAAAGGAGCGGTTTTCTCTTGCGGCTGATGACCTTCACCTCACACTTGGCGAGGGCCAGGATCCTTGGAGAACAGTGTCTTCTAGTTCTTGCTCATGTCTCCCTAGAGGGTAGAACCTGGCTCTGAGCCTTTGAAACATCTCATAATGAGAGGAAGGCTTGCGTTAACTGCAGTTTGGGTTCTGAGTTAAAGAATTTCCATTTTGAGGTATCTGTGCGCCGATCTCGTCTACGTCATCCTTTTTCCACAACTGCTTTGTGCTGTTTACTTGAAGAACAGCAATACATATGGATCACTGGCTGGCTACGCTGGTAATATTTTAGTATTTTTCTGTCACATTTTTTCTGTACTTTCAAGTTCATCTTTTGCTCGAGAGTCTTATTTCTTCGCTCTGGGTATGCTCTAAGACACAGGGTACAGCATCGTTGTGTGAAACAATAGGGGGTCGTACTTTTTCGCTGGGGAGGAGGTCGTTGGGAGAGGGGGGGGGGGGCGAATGGGCCTCTGAGAGAAATATGCTGCGTTAGGAAGAAATTTTACCCGATTGTTGACTTTTCGCGTGATGTCTCCTGTTTCGTGTTTACTATATACACCCCTCCCCGCTTTGCTCCCCCGCGACGGGGGAAATCTTTGGGTGAAAAACTGGAAAATGTGGGAAATTGGTAGGTAGGTGTTGGGGAAGGGGGGGGTCGTACCGAGACCCTCCCCTTAGGTGGGGGAGGGGGTCGTACCAGGATCCTTAGCCGGAGGGGAGGGGTCGTACTGACACCACCATTTCACACATCACGATGCTGTACCAAGCACATTCTTCAGTACCTAACCTCTTACTTTCTTGACTTCTCTGCGATTACCAATGAGTTTAGCTTTTTTGTAGAGAGTTCGAAAAAAGCAAAAAAGTTAACTTTTTCAAAACTATCTGTCCAATAAAGGATGGGTAATTTTCAGTTGGCCTAATTCTCCGACTGTCTGGTGGAGAACCCCTTGTCGGCCTACCGGCAATGGTCCACTATCCGATGTACACCGATGGGATCCAGTACTTCCCCTTCAAGACGGCATCCATGTTGTCGTCATTAGTTTGTATCTTTGGCGTAAGTGATACCGCTCTTCGTTCAGCTAACAGATCTGTTGCCGTACTTCAAGGGTCACTTTCAGGTGTCGCGGCTTAGTGAACATCTCTTCACGACGGGTCAGATATCTCCAGAGTGGGACGTCCTCGGTTGCGTCGTTGTCCCTTCAGAGAGGATTCCACTTCCGTCAGACGTCTCGTTCAATGTTAGCAGCGACACTCTCGCAATGAACAAAGTGAGTTGCTCAACGCACTACTACTATCTTACCACTACTATTGCTTATCAGTAAAGTATAAGGAACCTCTCCTGCGGAGTGCTTTCCGGCTCTTTCCATAGGTACCTACACTGTTCTGCTGGTGGTAGAAGAGTATCGAAATCGAAAAATTGCTTTCGACAACCCTCCTGTGTCACTAATACTGAGAGTATCTCCTATCCCTTTTCTTCGAGCTGTTCATTACTCAATGATCATTTTGTTCAACAAATTCAATATTTCAGCAGGATAGGGAACAGGTTTGAGTAGTTCTTTTCGTAAAAACTCGGGAACTCGGGCCACCCCGCCTATGAATTCGATATGCACCTACTTCACTCACTAAGTCTTACTTGGCGCTAATCACCTTGGAGGGGCGGGAGTATTTTTGCGAGCGAGTTATGACGATGACACAAATTCACAATTGACGATGACACTTTTGGATTCAAAAGAACCCAAAGTTTTCACAAAAATTTTTATTGCTTGAACTTTAAACTTAAGTTTAAAAAATTTTTGTGAAAACTTTTGGATTCTTTTGAATCTTTTGAGTCTTTCGCAATAAATTTTGGCGCCTCTTTTATGTGTTCAACATTCAGATTGCAATGAGGCTCCGGGACAGCACAATCTTAAGATACCGGTTTCATTTTTTAATTCCGCGAATCACCCAGAGGTGGGATCAGGACATCTACTTTGAATCCTACGCAGCCCACGACTTGAAGCAGATAGATCTGTACGTAAGTGCAGAGGATGTACCAATTTCACAGCTCAGAGAGCGTGGAGAAAGCGCGACCTCTCCGAGACGAAGACGACGCCATGGCCACTTCTTATTGGAACACCCAGTTTTCCTTTCTGAAGACTTCCTGATGATGCGGTTGTTCCGCCAAGAGCTCTCTTCATTACCAAGTGTGAGAGTGAGGTGATAAGGAGAAAGAGCCAATACACAAGAAAAATCTCATGGGTTTTTACATAGGGGAGTTTCGGATTGTTTGAATTATTGATCTCAACTTTTGGT